AGGGTGTAGACTTACACATATGGCTACTTTGTTTTGTTTTGTTAATCCTCACTGAGGAGATTTTTTCCCCATTAATTTTTTGAGAGAGAGAAAGAGAGAGAGAGAGAGAGAGAGAGAGAGAGAGAGAGAGAGAGAGAGAGAGAGAGAGAGAGAGAAGATGAAGAAGGAGAAGGAGAAGGAGAAGGAGGAGGAGGAGGAGGAGGAGGAGGGGAGAAGGACAAAGATGAAGAGGAAGAGGAAGAAGGAGAAGGAGGAGGAGGAGAAGGAGAAGGAGAAGAAGGAAAAGAATGAGGAAGAGGAGGAGGAGGAGGAGGAGGAGGGCAGGAGGAGGGCGAAACATCAACATCAATGTGAGAGTGACACTTTGAATAATCGCCTTCTTCCTGCACTTTACCTAACCAGGCTGGGGATTGAGTCTGTAATCCAGGTATGTGCCCTTGATAGGGAATTGAATCCGAAATCCTTCAGTGGGCGGGCCACTGAGCAATTCCAGCCAGTCTCTGGATGCCTGGTTGTCTATCAGGTCCCTCAAACTTAGCATGCCTAATTGAATTGTTGATTCCTTCTCTACATCCCTTTACTCTGTTCTTCTCCTGTTGTTCTCATCTCAGAAATGGAAATTCCCTTATGCCCAAAACTTTGGGGTTCTCCTTGGCTATTCTCTGTCTCTCATGCACTTTATTTAATCAACTCCAAAATCCTGTCAGCTATTGCTTCAAAATCTCTCCAGAATCTTACCACTTAATACCCATATGGCCTCCATCCTGGTCTAAAATACCATCATCTCTTGCCTAAATTATTGTTATCATCCCTTAACAGGTCTTCTTGCTTCTGTCCTTCTTCCTGGACCTATTTTCAATATAGCAGGCAGAGGGATTCTGTTAAAACTTAAGTCAAATCCTGTCATTTCTCTGCTTAAAATCTTCCAATGGTTCTCTCTCAGGCAGTGTAAAAGTTGGAGTCCTTACCTTGGCCTACAAGGTTCTAGATTGAATTTTGCTCTCTGATCTACTTCCCTCTTCCTCTTGCTCACTCTGCTCCTAGCCACACTTATCTTTCAGAAAATGCCAAATATTCTTCTGCTTCAGAACATTTGTATTGTTTATTCTCTTCTCCTCTGCCCATCCCCAAATGTTTGCATGACTCATACCTTTATTTTATTCAGATTTTTTTCTCAATTGTTCCTTTATTAGAGGAACCATCCCTGACCACATTATAAGATACCCCATTACTTTCTCTCCCTCTTTCCCTGCTATATTTTCTCCACAACCAATTTTGTTTACTGCCTGTCTCTTTACATTGGAAGTTAAGGTCTTGAGGACAATATGGCATGTTTACTGGGGATATACTATGTGCCAGGTTCTTTTCTAGGCACTGGGAATATAAAAGTAAACAAAACAGATAGATGATACTAGTCTTATGGTATTTCCATTCTGGTATTACACAAATATTTTCTCAGTAAATATTTGATAAATGCATTTAATAAATATAGCATACACTTAACAGAGTGACAGGAATGGTTCCAAAATAAAGGAGACATATTGGCTTGTCACTCTTTAACTCACTGGAGAATCCAGCACATCTAAAGAAATGGTTGTATAGCCTCCCAGATGAAAGGCTGGAAACCTAATAAAATCCCAGGACTCTCAGACATTCCATATTACTAACTATCAGGGGCTCTTAGATTCCTCCCAGTTTACTGCTTCATGAAAAATATCTGTGATTGGCATAAAGTGACTAGAATCTAGGGACTGACTAGAGTAGCAGATCAGGAGGAAATTAGAAGTGCTAAAAACTAGTGAGAGGCTTTAGATTTTGCCAGAAAAAAAAAACACAAAACTAGTTTGTATCAAAACAGAATAAACATTCTAAGAAAGATCAGAAGCAAAGATGTTGGTATCCAGATCCAGATAAAGTGGTTTAGGAAAGTAGAAGATGCTGCCTTCTTTAACAGAACAATGGGAGGCCAAGGGAAGAGGTAAACTTTAAAAACAATTGGACTTCCCACTTGGAGAGGAAGGTCATATTATTCTTACCATCTCTCTCTCCTCTCCTTCTTAGCAATTAGGGAATATGAAAGATTTCATGGTATTGGTGAACAGCCTTAAAGGGAAAGTCAAAAGTGGAAAGACCCACATTCATCAAAGGTGAGGTAACTGGGAGAGGAAAGGGCCCATGGCTGTCAGTTCTCAGCTTCAACATAGCCTTCTAAAGACTTCCAGGAAACTGGTTGCAAGTGAATAATAGTTGACTTTTACTTCCTGGACCACATTTCCTAGGCTTAAACTTGGTCATCAATTGTATGCAAAGTATCTGCTCTAGAGAATAGCCCCACTGGTCCAGTTCTGCATTCAAGGGCTCAATGCTGCTGCCACCTCCATTGACTAGACCCGTGGTTGGCAAACTGCGACACTCGAGCCACATGAGGCTCTTGGGCCCCTTGAGTGTGGCTCTTACACAAAATACCACAATCTGGGCAAGTCTATTTTGAAGAAGTAGCGTTAGAAGAAGTTTATGTTTTAAAAAATTGGCTCTCAAAAGAAATTTCAATTGTTGTATTGTTGATATTTGGCTCTGTTGACTAATGAGTTTGCCGACCACTGGACTGGACTATTAAACTTATCTTATTTCTCTGACTTTTTTTATTTTTTATTATAGGGTCCCTGTTCTGAGCTCTTTTTCAGATTTCATTCTGTTCTGTTTCTTCTGGCCCCTATAGACAAAGTCCTGGCCCCATTTGTTAAATAGCACATGCCTCCTGGAATTGCTTCCATTATTGGCCCTTACTCACATTAACAAATGTCAACTTAAAAATCTCATTTTCATCTTTATAAAGTTATAGTTCTTTGTAACCCTCAGATATATATCTTTGGCAGAGGTAGCCAGCACTAGATATCTCTGAATCCAGATGTCTTTGCAGCAGCCACGAGCTATGCATTCTACAAACTACTGTGCCAAAGAAGTAGTGTTCTATCAATTGACAGAGCAATATTGAAATAGGGTGATTCAAAGACTCTGCCCAGGAGCTAGCTCAACATCTTGTTATGCCCCACAAAATGCATTGCTAGTTGACTCAAATCTATTTTACCCTTAATATTAGGTCTAGTAATAATTAATGTCGTTTTCTAATACTTTTTTAAATCGAATTTATTTAAACAATACAACAAAATTTAATCAACAATATAGTTGCCGTTGTTTTCTACTACTTGTGCCCAACGCTCAGGAAGCATTTTAATCGCTCTGTTGTAAAATTCTTGTGATTTTGATGCAAAAAATTCGGTCAATGCATTTTTGAGGCATTCTTCATTATTAACTTTTTTTCCAAGAAGAAAGTTTTGCAAAGAACGAAACAAATGGTAATCGGAAGGGGCAATATCAGGAGAATATGCAGGTTGAGGGAGAACTTCCCATTCCAACTGGCGCAGTTTTTCAGCAGTGATTCTTGCAGAATGCGGTCGTGCGTTATCGTGGTGAAGAATTACGCCCTTCCAATTAATCAGCGCGGGTTCTTTTTCTCTTAAAGCTTGGGCTAACCTTTCCAATTGGGCACTATACACTGCACTTGTAATGGTTTGGTTAGATGGTAAAAGTTCATAATGAAGAATTCCTTTAAAATTCCACCAAACACACAACATCACTTTTTTCGCATGCAAGTCAGGTTTTGGAGTGGGCTGTGGAGCCTCATTTTTGTCCAACCATTGAGGCCGCCTTTTCAAATTAACATACAGCACCCATTCTTGTTACCATCTCCGGTAACAATTTGCTCTAAAAACGGCAAACGGTTTTGACGAGAGAGGAGCGAACTGCAAATTGTGACTCTTTGATTAAGGTTGTTGTCGGTCAACTCATGAGGAACCCATTTTCCAAACTTTTGGACTTTGCCAAGTGCACGCAATTGATTGGAAATTGTTTTTTGTGAACAATTTAAAGTTGTCGCAAGCTCTTGTTGGGTAATTTGAGGATTTTGCACCAAAAGAGCTTGAAGAGCTTTCTTGATCAAAATTGGACACACGGCCTCGACCACACTTGTCATCTAACGAAAAATTTCCCTCGCGAAATTTCTCAAACCAACGCTGGCATTTTCTGGCGCTAACTGCATCTTGACCAAGAGTACTACAGATGTTTTTTGCAGCCTCACTTGCTTTTCTTCCTAATTGGAACTCGTAAAGCATGCAGTGCTGAATATGCTCTTCATCCGCCATCTTCTTAGCCCTAGTTTTGCAACAAAAACCAAACCAAACACAAACTTTTTCAAGCAAAACTTGTTGATTGCACTTCACACGTTCTGTAGATACCACGTGTTTGAAGGTTATGTCAATACAAGTCAACGCCAAGCAAGATTTTAAACGAATGTTTAAAAACGACATTAATTATTACTAGACCCGATAGGAATCATTTTCATCGCACATCATAACCTAACTGAAGGGGCAATAAACACCATCAACTTACATTATAAATACCAACAATTTGCCAAATACTAGTGTAGATTCTCTGGCTATACAAAAAGAAATAAATTCCTGCCCTTAAGTTACTTACAAACAAGACCTAGAAGCTCTAGTTAATCTTTGAGCATGGTAGCTGATATTAATATTAACATGCTTATCATTGGAATTAATATATCATGTAAGTGCCTCCATGGCACAACACTACATCAATTCCAAGAATAGCACTGAATCCTCTTGGTGGCCTTAGTAGATATGTTATGTCCCCAGATAGGTGAGGTCCATATGGAGGGTGCTCTTGAGATATACAAATGCTGCTATGGGTTTTAGACATACTGTGAAAGAACTGAAGCTATCTGGAGTTGCAGGTGAGAGGATTCTGTTTAATTAATTCTATATAAAATGACTGATGGGTAGGCTAGGCTAAAAAAAACTTCTTCTGTGACTCTGAGTCTGTGAACAATCTATTAGATGGTAAAGCACACTTGTGAAGCTAATTATCAGAATGGTACTCAACATTAACTGAGATATGATAAAAGATCACCCAAGTAGACTTACCATCTGCTCCTTCACTGCTTTTGCTTCTTTTATTGCGACGGACACGCCTACTTTCTGCTTCAGTGTATGACTTTTCTTCAGGGAAGAAAAAATTCATCAGGGCCATCTGTAAAAACAACAAATAGATGAATAAGAGATTGACCCCAATCAACCATAGCTGACATAAAAAACTAGTTTCCTGTAGACATTCTAGTTTCACCTTAAATTCAACATGTCTAAAACCTGAGACCATCTTCCCTTCCACTGTAGAAATCCTTTTATTTTTGTTACCATTATTATTCCAGTCTTGTAGACATTGAATTTTGGCTAAGCTCTGAATCCCTTCTCTTCTGTCCTGAATGTTTAATGACTAATCCTCTGACTCCCATTTCCCCATATAGTTCTGGGATTCAGAGAGCCCAGTTGTGGATTTCTAACTTCCCTCATGTACTACTGATGTCTGCCCAGAATTAGACTTGAGTTTGCAACTCCCTCTTGAACTTCATTAATATACAGTCATAAACTTCCCACATTCTTATTTATACTAAACTTTTGGTTTATTACCATAATGCTCTGCATCCAATTATGATTGAAAGATGCTATTTATATAAACATTTTTCTGGAAGTTAATTATGACAAAACACATTTTCTCTGTTTCCTAGACTCCTACAGAACTCCTATAGCAGTTGGGTGTAAGACTCATTTTGGTACTTGATCCTTTACTCTCTTATGATTATCTCTCATAATAATACAATATGTTTCATATGTGAATGGGCCTGGTTTCACTAATGATAATCACAGCTTAAATATGTACTTGCCAAAATGAATCATAATATTTCAGCGTAAGTGCCTCTTTGTGGTTAAAAATATGCTTGAGCTAAATAGTGGACAGAGAAGTAGGAATGAGAGTGATTCTAATTCGACTTTGCCAATTATAGCTGTGTACCTTGGGCAAATTACTTGAGTTTTAATTTCCTCATCTGTAAATAGAGATAATAAATAGTACTTTGCTCATAAAGTAGTTAAATGGTTAGCACAGTACCCAGCAAGTAATATGTACTCAATAAGTGTCAGTTATTACTGTTATTAAAAATCAAACTTCCAATCAATCTCTAGACTGGTTAGAGAGTTTGGGGGTTAAAAAATAAGTGAATCTGCATTTTCACCCTAGTGTTAATGTTTAAAAAAAAAACAATTTCAGCATTCTTATGTCTGCTGCATCTCTCATTAATTGAAAACAAAAATTTGGTACAACTCACGAAAGCATTAGCATTCTATACTAAATCTCTTCAAAACGCTATGGTTTACTGTTTACATAGGACAATTATACCCAACAGCCTTAACAGCATCTTGCATAATATATTCGTGTGTTAAATAAATATAAAGTTAATAAATGCAAGCTTAGGTAATTTCCAACTTGTCATAAGATTAATTTAAAAAATTTAAGTTGAACAATATGAAACTGTCATTTTTGTAAGTAAAAAATGGTAGAATATTAGCAATTTCAGATGGTTCAACTGAGCAGTATTTTTGAATCACTTGATTGGAATGTAAAATGCATTTTCCCATAAAATCAACATAATAAACTCTGGCTAGGTTTCCAGACAAAGCTCATAGAAAGTTACTTAACCCATAACATAAATAAGCTATTATACTACTGGAAATATAAAACCAAGCTGTTATTTACAATAAAAGCTCAATAATTTGAAACTCCAAAAGAACAAGTCTATCTAGATTGAATAGTTTTCTTGGTGATAACTTATTTAAGCTATTCTTAATAGAAATTACTCCACAATATATTGTTTAATTCAGGGCTTATTAGAAGAGGTGTTACCTCTGTGAGTCCTGAATGATGTCAATGATTTAGTGACAGAAAACAAAAAAGAGCCCTAACTGATTTGGCTCAGTGGATAGAGTGTCAGCCTGAGTTCTAAAAGGTCCTGTGTTTAATTCTGGTCAAGGGCACCTGCCTGGGTTGTGGGCTCCATCCCCAGTGGAGGGCGTGGAGGAGGCAATTGATCAATGATTCTCATCATTAATGTTTCTATCTCTCTTCCTCTCCCTTCTTCCCTGAAATCAATAAAAATATATTAAAAACAATAAAACAACAAATAAATTCCAGGCGAAATGAGCATTGTGTTTAAATGTTCAGAGGAAAGAGAGAGAATAACAGTTTTTAGAAATATAAATAAATTAGAATAAGTGATAGGAAATTGGGAATAATGTTAAAGAATGAGCCAAAAGACATTAAATAAGGGCTAGATCATGTTAAGGAATTAGTTTCACTGTGGCTGCTTTTTGAAATCTTAAGCTTTTTTTAATGCTTTTTTGTCTCTTACCTTGCTGTCAACTACCAGATTTCATTTTACTAACCTGTAACATCTTTTCTAGTCCCTTCAAATTTGTTACTTATAATATTATAGGCTTGACATCTTGATAAAACTAATTAGAATAAGTGGGTAGTCAATGAGTTTTTGAATAGTTTTTCCAATAAATAAGATGCACATTCTTTGGCAGCTTAGAGGCCATTTGTTTATTGCTTAATTCCTGGCTGTGGTCTGGATAGGTGAATTTGTCAGAAAACTGAGTTTTACATGATGTGTTATTATAGTATAATGCTATTTCTGGGGGAAAATTTTTTGAAGTCCAAATGAAGAATTTCCCCACCATCACAACTACAATTCCAGAATTCCCTTCACACTCTTTTGTGTTCTGGCAGGGCCTCCAGCACCTTCTTGTGCCCTGATGGCAGCAGTAGAATGTGCTTACATATTAATTGTTCCAAGGGGTCTGGTGGGAACTTGTAAGAACTGAAGAATGATACAAAATCCTGTAGATAGCAGATACAACTTCGGTTTCCATGGATACTAGGGATAGCTTAAAATCCCTTAAGAGAGGCTATGGATGAGTATGGGACATTCATAAATCAAGTGCTTATTAGATGAGGACTATCTATATATGAAAATGCTTCGAATATAGTTTCTATTTTCTCAATGAAAATTGGAAGTAAACAACACAAAGCACAGTTTAAACTGAAAGAGGATCCCTATTCACAGTGCCCTTAGTTGAGTCTCAATTAGATGAAAGAGGGAAAACTATCCTCTGTGTAGTACAATGGTAAGGACAAAAATCAGTGGCTGCTCATACAAAAAGTCTGGAATTCTATCTTGAGTTTTGCATTCATTACCATGGCCTTCTAAGGCAAGTTGCAAAATATGAACAAAACAGCTTTCTCTCTTCAAATATTGCTTTCTTATTACAGAAGGGGGGAAGCATTATGAATGTTGGCTACAGTCAGGCATTTTGCTCAAGGGAAGAAAAGTCTAATTCTTTACACTTTATTAACTGATTACTCCCTTGTTCCCTATGGTAAAATTACATGGTAAATAGCACCTGCAGATTACAGAGATCTTAGCTGGAAACACTTCGTTAACAGTGAGACATGAGAGATGCATCCATTAGTCCTAGTGACTCTCCAGATATTGTACTACATTTCCCCCTAATACATAAACCCACAAAATTTTATAAGGTACTTTTTTCTTTTTACCATGACACAGAATAAATTTAATTCATTTCATGGCTAATATATTTGATTGAATTAGCTCTGGGCCTCAGCCACAGTAGAGGTCTCTAATAAGTATCTATCTGTTGAAAAGATAATAGGACTATCAATAATCCATTCATTAACCAGTTAACTGCCACCATGTTTTAAATTTAATTTAAAAAGGTCCACCCCTTATGTCTATAGACGCTATGGCATTCAAATGTTAAAGACAGGATTTTATTTTACCCTAATTGGACCTCATTTCTTAGGGTACCATGGAGAGGTAAATTAAGGACTCATTACACTACTGGAAGTAATAAGTCAAAGGGGTTTAAGAATGAGATTCTCTATAGGTCAGTGGCTCTCCAAATTTGGTGTGCATCACAATCACAAGACATGAGTGTGAAAATGTAGAATCCAGGGCATTCCCCTCCCCAAATTTAGCTTGAGTAGGCCCCCAGAATCTGACTTTTTAACTTCCTCCCTACAGGATTCTGATGTAGGTCATCTTTGAACCACATTTTGAGAAATTGTTTTATGTTCATTCCTCAACCTGTCCATTATCTGGAGACTGAAAAGGCTAAATCTCTCTTGCCACTGGTAAAACGGAGCTCTCACATAGACAGTGTTTTTCACTTTTATCAGTCATTCCTAGAGTTAATCTTTTTATAGGAATTGATACTTCATTTGTCTCAAGAGGAGGCAGGTACCTACCAAGCTTTTTAAAATTGATGAATCACCTATTTTTAAAAGAAATATTTCTTTTCCAGTGTTCTTGAATAAGTCAATTTTTCTTATTACAACTACTGCTATCATTACCACCACCCATTGGTAATCACCTGGAACCTTGAAATAAAATAAAACAAAATAAAAGTATTTATACTCTGAGATGTTTAACAAAATCTTCAAGTGATTCCACAATGTCAAAAAAAATGAGCATTTTATCTCAGTACCAATTAGTGAAGTAGGATTGCCCAAGCATGGGTATGCCATAGATAGAAAATGGATACAGAAGCTGGTGTTGAGTACACTTCTAATTATAAAAACCCTTAATTCAACATGCTCTGATTTTCTTTTTAAAATTATTTTCACTTATTTTTAGTATACTCCTTTCATTTCCTTATGCTATTGGTTGAATAATGTATGCCCAAAATTGATTTGCTGAAGCTCTAATCTCCAATAACTCAGAAAGTTACTGTATTTAGAGATAAATCCTTAAAGAAGTAATTAATTTAAAATAAAACTGTTAGTATGGTCATAATCCAATCTAAATGATGTCATAATAATAAGAAAAAATGTGGACATGCAAATACCAGGGATGCATATACACAAAGGAAAGACCATGTGAGGACATAACAAGAAAGTGATCATCTACAAACTAAGGAGAGTGGCATCAGGAAAAAAGTCTGTCGACACCTTGATCTTGGATACCTTATCTCCAGAACAGTGAGAGAATAAATTTATATTGTTTAATGCCACCCCCCCCTGTATTATTTTGTTATGACAGTCTTACCAAATAAATCCTCTTTATATAATGTCTTCATGCTGCTATACTGGTATATAGATAATGATGGTTTTGAATG